GTGTGCAGCGAACCATGAAACTATTCAGTAGATTGCTGCATGTATTGATAAGTAGAGACATTGCGAATAGCGTAGTTTTTCACTTTATATTGTAAGCATGAGAAGGGCTTTTAACATTTTACTTTGCCTCTGTCTTACCATAGCAATCTGGGAGTTGTATGTGATGTGGGGTTCATTGCCTGAAGTTCTTGGATCAATCAAACCTGTGGCAGGGCATGGCGTTGTTACCAATCGGAGCATGGGAGATATGGAGAGTCCATATAGGGAGAGAACAGAATCAAGCGACGCCAGGCTTAACACTACTCACCGGCTAACGTCTCTAAATGACAGTAATCATGGCGCGGGAAGAGTGAAAACTAGGAGTAATTTTACTGCCATACTCAACTCGAATAAAGTAAGTGAAATTAACCTTCACTTTTGATGGTGTCAGTGACTTTACACTATGTTCAGCGCAGTGATCCTGTCAACTCATTCATCCATATGTACGGGGATGGGGCTTCCACATCTAGTAGGGAGTAAATAAATAAATACAATTATATCAACTCGTAAAGAACAGTATTAAATGATTACATTAAATATTACATTAAATATTAGCGTGTTCATGTATCACAACGATCATATCAGGTAAGAAGCTGCTATCACGTTTTTAGATCTCGTAATATTTGCTATGTGCATCCAAAGTTGATACGTAGTCGCTTGTTATTTTGTGAAAGATCGCTGCTAAGTGGGCTTCAACTTGTTTCATTTGTGGGGGAAATCGAATATGCTCAATAAACGACAGACTATAATTACAAAACGTGCAGTCATCATTTCATTTCATCATAAAATATACTAGGGCCGGGCTGACGCTAGTTCCTGTTGAACAGCGGCGTTTTGGGATATCTATTATTATCCCTTGTGCAACTGCGTTCATGCGAAGATATATATATAATCTCCGTTTCCATGGAAATCAGGCACTTGTTTGTAGGAATTGTTAACTCTTGTTGAAATGTGCAAATATAATGAGCGAAGTGGATATGTGTTATATTCATGGCATTTTCAGACATTTCTGAAACCGATAATCCTAAAAAAGTACAAATGTCTCTTCTTCTCATAACTCGATTTTCTGGGCTTCGACATTCAGAACGCATTTTACTCCACTGACTTCGAACAAAGAACGAACTTGAACCAGGCAAGTTTACGAACGCCTTTGGGTAAAACAAAATTATCGTGCACGTACTTGAGGATTGAATAGTCTAGAATTTTTATAATTCCAGTCTTCCAAGCGGTATATTATAAAACCCCTAACATTGAGATGTATGTATTTTGTGACAGCCAACCATGATGTAAAAGGTGAAGTCTGATTACATATTGAGATATGGAGAAGTATTGCACTGCTTTATTAAACGGAGGCATAATATAGCGGGGTTAAGATAAAATATAACATTATGTTAAATTCTTATATTTTAATAGAATGAAAGAAACCAATCTCGGAGTTTAAAACAACATAAATCAGTCCAAGTGAACGGACAGAAGAATGCTACGAATCAACCCGAATATAGAAAAACTACGCCAAGTAAGGCAATAAATAAACACGAACAGTCGGAAAGTGGTTCAAAAAAAACCAAAACTCAACAGGGCAAATCGATATCAAATAAAACAATTACTGAGAACGACATTCGACAAAACTCATCTAAGATTAAAATGACAGAAGAAAGAAATCTGACGGAACTAAAACATGCTGGCGGAAAGGAGTTACCGAATTCAGATAAAAACGTGGTTCCACCGAAAGAGTCCCATATTCAGAAAGTTACGACTCCAAACTTGTCGGAGAAAACATATCTATTTCCTTTACACTACGATTACAATGGTCCCAATGTGCAGTATAGTTCTTTTCGTTTTGGGGTTGCCTTTGCATTAACGTACAACCGGACGGTTGTGGAAAACTGGTTTAGTACGCATTGGACTACGGGAGCAAAGCAAATACGCTACGTTAATGAGACTTTTGACATGGCTAAACTTCAAGAGATTGTTGACGTGGCAAGTGTGAATGAATTTAAGGAGGCCTGCAATAGTACGGTCGATGCATTACTTATGCACCCTTACCATCGAATGGGTGGTAGGACAAAAGCACAATATCTTGAGCGATTTTTGTGGAAACAAAAGGGTCTAGAAAAAAGATACGCTATTACATTACCGGGACCTTCCCACATACCCCAATCCAGTGAGGAAGCAGAAGCGCTATTGTTAAATCCTCCTAAGACAAAATGTCTTGGTGTATTAGATCCAAGTATTGATACAAAATGGCTGTTTCCTGCTCTGACGAAGCATTTTGATACAGTTAATACTCATATTGTGTCTCCGCCAAATATAATGAAAATGGTTGACGAAGTGGAAAAGAAACTGTGTGACGGCGATCCCTTTGTGGCGATGCATTGGAGAAATAGATCCGGAGAAATGTGAGTACATTTTTAATGACATTGGAACGCATAGGCTCATGGGTAGATGCTTGTTTGTAAACAATGACA